TGATCTGGAGTCTTTTCGTGGTCGTTTTTCACTATTTTGTGGGACTTGTGTTTCACTTTGTGGTTGTTTTCGGTGTGTTTGTGGTCGTTTTGTGCTTCTCTGTTGTCATTTTGTGTCCCTTTGTTGTTTTTTTTCTGGAACATTTTGCTTCGTTTGTCTTTTTGCAGTTGGTTTTCTTCACTATTTGGTCAGTTTGTCGTCAGCTGATCGTGTTGTCAGGGCCGGTGGCGCCCATTCAGGAATCCATCCAGGATGATAACTGATGGAGATGCTTGTTGTCTCAAGTTGCCTTTATTTTAAGGTGACTTAAAGAGGTTTTCAGTGATGCTCAGCGAAGAGATGAGATCATGAGGAAACACCAGATGAGATCAAATAAGCTGAAGAAATAAATCAATAAAATAAAAGAGAGAGAAATAAAGTCAAAATTTAAAAAACAGAGTAAGAAATGATAAAAGTAATAAACAGTAGAATAAATGGACTAAAATATGTAAATAAACAGAGAACTGAATAAATCCATCATCAATCAAAAGCCTGACGATAAAAGTCTTTAGTTTGCTTTTAAGAATATGAAATGTGAAAGAGCAGCATCATGTGTTGTCAGTGAGACATGATCATAACGTTTGGTGGGTTTTTGGGTTTTGTCTTTGGAGCAGCAGCTGGTAAACATGACTGAGCAGCATGTTGTCCTTTAAACACGCTTCACTTTGCATGTTATGGTTCTGCTAACAGCCACATTATCGAAAAAGGAAGCATCCCTGCACACTGACTCTGTTCTAGTAAAAGAGGAAGCCACATGAAAGGCCCAGTCTGAGGAAGTGTTGTGTTCTCTCTCTCTCTCTCTCTGTGTGTGTGTGTGTGTGTGTGTGTGTGTGTGTGTGTTCTGTTCTCTCAGAGGAGCTGCAGGTGTTTTCCAGGTAACCCAGGTGACCAAAGAAGGAAGTAAACAAGCTGCTGGATCTCCAGCATGCCCCCTTCCCCCAGACCTTGACCTCGTCCCGTGGTCCTGCTGCCATGACCTACCTGGCCCACACGGCCCACGCCCAGCTCTGCGCCCTGTGGATGGGCTGCGTGGGCTGGACGCTCACCGCCGTGGCTCTGGGACTCGTCCAGTGGCGGGTGTGGCAGGTGTCGGACCGGGAGGCGATCAGCTCCGGCGTGGCCTGGGTGGGCGTGTGGAGGGCCTGCTTCAACAGCCACACCGTGGTGAGCCCCGGCTACAGGGCCATGTTCTGCAGCCGCATCGGCCTGACGGAGGCCTTCACGCCGCCGGACATCGCGGCCGCTCAGGTGCTCGTGCTGCTCTCGCTGCTGGTGGGGCTTTGTGGGAACGCCGGCGGCGTCTACGTCATGAGGAACGTCTACTTCGGGATGGAGAAGAACCCGCCGATCCGGCTGGGCTTCGTGGCCACCGGGGCGCTGTGCCTGCTGGCCGCCGTCATGTCTCTGGTGCCTCTCGTGTGGAACCTGAGCTCGGTGGCGACCAATCAGACCATCCGCTTCCCTCCGGAGTTCAAGATGCCCGAGGCGCCCGTCTCCCAGCACGTGGGTTGCGGCATCAGCGTGGGGCTGGTGGGCACCGTCCTCATGATCGTCTCCGGCATCGTTTTCTGCTCGTACAGGTTGCCGGCGGACAGACCGTTACCCACAACCCCCCGGGGCACAGACAACCCGGCGTTTGAGCTCCACGAACGCTTGTGATCAGCCCGTTGGGATGTTCAGCACCAGCAGAGGAAACGCATCCGGATGTTCTGAACACTTGAAGAGCTGCAGATTGAGACGTTCAGCTTTTCAAAAACTGCAGTTTGCACACGCTGACTTGTATTTATGTGGCTCCTGGAGCTCCTGCAGTGACTCATCTGCTTTTCTTCTCCGGGGGAGGAAGAAGCGAGTGACTCATCGGCCGACGGCAAACTAACCTAAAGCCGTCGCCGTGGTGTCTTCAGAGGCGGAAAGCCGCAGCTGAAATAAACAGACTCGCTCAACTAAATGAAAGCAGCGATGATTTGTCATCTGTGGAGCTGCAGTGAAGATGTGGCTTCAAACGTAGTTACAGTGCTCCGTTATGATCTGCTATGTGTAGACCGAGGCCTGTTTTCACATTAAAACTGAGCTCAGACTGCTTTTGTTCTGTCCGCTGACACTTTGCCGTCACATCCTGTTTATATTTCATAATGAAGAACAAACTGCAGCTTCTCAAGGCTCCTTATGTGAAGTGAGTTTAAACATCTTTACACCTTAAAGCACCTTCATCATGTAAATGAATCACATTCATGCTCTGTCGCTGTCATTACTTTAATCCTGACGTGAAAACAGGTCGTTTTACGGTTTTATTCTGTTCAGACTTTTAGCTTCATGTGACTAAAGTATTAAAATAAAATGCAAACTACCGCATTAGGATTGTTGAAGATATTTTTGCATATAAGATGTTAAAATGTTCTAACTGCACATCTGAGCATGTTTAGGTGTTTCTACGATGCTAACGGTTCTGAAGTGATCAATTAAAGCACAGACGGTTTTTATTTTTCTTAAATATTTTATTCAAAAAAAGCAAAAAGCTCATCTCCAGAATTTCAAACCATCTGTATCAATGTTCCTCCAGCGGTGAACAGGTCACCTGAGCTGCTCACAGGTTGAGGAAATCCAATTGAGGCAATATTTCAAAGGACATCTTTAGGTATTTTTTTTATTGCACACACCTCTGGGAAGTGGCCGCTTGGCTTCTTTGAGAAAAGTGTAATTATTCGCATGTCAATTTGCTTTTGTGGCTCCAGATGCAGGGACGAGCCGCGCAGAGCAGCTGATCCCGGGTCAGCTGGTGCCTTCGCGTCCCAGAGGTGCGACTCAAACATCATCCGCTGCAGCTCTGACCGAAGAGTGAAACGACCACCACGGCGCCGACGTCGTGGTGCATATTTCATCCTTCCATCCCTCTCTTCAGATCAACATCAAATCAAACCAGCTGCAGGGCTGATCGAAACCTTCTCGAGGAACTTCACACACAGATGAGGAGTTTCATTCCAAAACACAAAAGCTTTAAAAACCAGAGCTGACGGCGGCGGAGCGCGTCGGCCCAAACACTTCTGCTTCGCACAGACCTCTTGCTGGAGGACAGAATCGTCTGAGTTTAAAAACACTGAGTGTCAGTGAGCAAAGTATTTCTAAAACGGGAATACACTTTGATATATCGTCACAGAATGAAACCCCCAAGTATAAATAAAAGACGACACCGGAGAGATACATGGCATATCATTCAAACACACTAATACTGAACACAACATATACAAGTAAAGCACAAGGATTATTTAAAATTTAAAAAAGAAAAAAAAAAAGAGTTTCAGATATTATCATAGACGGTCAGTTATCACCAGAATTTTACACTTTCATCCGATCTAGACACAGATGTCCACGCGCTGCCGTTCACGGTGTGGGTTTGCGTTACAAAGAGGCCACGCTGTGTCCAAGTGAAGCCCTGAATGAAGGACGAGAGCCTCGCCGACTTGCTTTCTGATGTCCTGAACGATGAGAATGATGGCAGCTCGTCAAATACGGGTTTAAAGGAACAGTGCATCCAGAAACCTCCATCTGGCCCCATGTGGTCAGTTTATCCACTTCCTCGACTTTAATCAACGCCCTTTTCTGTCATTTCTGACCATCTAATAATCAAAGATGTCTGACTAAATCAAATCCCAATTAGCAGTTTGACGCTGGTGATTTTGCTTCGAGAACTCCGGCACATTCACACGTGGTCGTACTGAGGCCGGACAGTCCGTTTACAGGTGGCTACCGGTGGAAGCAGCGTTACTTCTCTCGGCCCAGGAAACGCCACGTTCGCTAAAAAGTCAGCTCAACCCGCATCCTCGTAAACACAAAGACTCACTGTCGGCTCCAGATGGAAACTGGGAACCAGCTGATAGGTTTTGTTTTAGCTTCCTCAAACTTAGAAGCCCAATGAATTCAGTTTTAAAACCACATTTTCACGCACAGTCTTTCAAAGTTCTTGAAACTCTTTTCTTTCCAGGCCTTCAAAGTTTAATACCAGAACACAGAAATTCGGACATCTTCAGTATCATCAATTGAATTTAGCTGCTTAAACTTCCGAAACAAACATTAACAAGTAAATATTGAACTTTGTGGACCTTGAGTGCAGCTGTGAGTCATTTTTACTCTGAAAGCTGAAGCAAAGCTGCACGTTTTTTAATTTTGGGTGAACTATTCCTTTAGTGGGAGTTTAGTAATCGATGGCGTGACTTGCCTCTGCTGACACGACCAGACAGACGGGATGTAAAACAGAGTAAAAAAAAAAAGATGCTCGTCTATGTAATTTCTGGGTGCGACGCCCCCGTTGAGCGCTGCTGCTCCGCTCAACACGGCGAGCGCTTCGGAGAACCGGAGACGCCTCGGCCTCGCCTCAGCCTGTTCGCCTCGCTGCCCTCACAACATGGAAGCCCTAGTTGAGTCCGTTTTGATCCAGATGGTTTGAAACTGAACGAAAAAAATACGTACATACATACAAAATAAAATACAAAATAAGAAAAAAGGAAAAAAAAAAAAAAAAGGTTTAAAAATGCAGGAGGCTTAATCATTCCAAAGTCCGCCAGTCTGTTCTTGATACACCTCGATGACGTCCTCGTCCTCCATCCCCAGCTGGCAAACACAAGAGACGCGCTTTAGCTTCACGGTTCGACTCAATCAATCAAACATTTCTTCCTATTTTTAGTCAAACCCGTCTGCAGTGTCGTCACGGTTAGCGAGCTTTCACTTCACAGTCAGTAAATGAGAAACAGTGGCATCGACAGGCCGCTTTGTGTTCCCTCCACGTGGACGTGTGTCGTTTGTGGGCTAAAATATTTCACCTCCTCTGTTGATAATCTGTGTGTGTGTCTAAGAATGACTCAGATCTGTCGGAAAAAAAACTCACCAGACTTTTGAAATCAATTTAAAAGTGTGCAAACTTTGGTAAAATCATCTTAATATGTCGCTGCTGTTATTAATGAAGCTTTTCCTCGTAAAGAACTTCATATGAGTGAGCAAGATGCTGCAGATGGAGGTTGTCGAATCGGTGACACAAACCAGCAGCTGTTTTGATAACTGACTGTATTTTTTTTCATTTTTCAGGAGGAAATTTGGCACGAAGCTGAATCTGCTTTGGTTTTGGCCTCTCATTGAATAAAAAGAGCGATCTGTAAACATCTACCTTCTCATCCTAACATGCATTTTCGATATTTTTTTCCACAGATAGATGAACTGCTGATCGATTCCTCAGAAAACAAACCCCGACACAAATCGACAACAACAGTATTCAGCTGCAGGCCTGTTTCACACGACTTGAAGTGTCTATTTTACATTTTTCCTGAACTGTCAGACCTTCTAGTCATCGTCGTAGCGCACGGTACTCTGGATAATCGGGTCAGTTACAAATTTAGAGGTTATGGAAAAAGTGGATGTTTCTTAGACGGGACAGAAGAGCAGAACGTGAACAGAAGTCTCTTTGGATCAGCATGGATGTCAGCAAAGTTAATTATTAAGTCATAAAAGAAACGTTTACCTCTTTCGGAGTTTGGTTGTCTGCAATTCTCTGTCCTTCAAAGAGAAACCTTAGCGTGCTCGCTGGGACGCCCTGGAAGAAAGAGAGTGCATCAAAGATCACTCCGACTACTTCCTTCTGCTCAAACTGTAATAAAAGCTGATTATTTGTCAGCGCGCGGTCGATGGCCGGTAATCAAACTTGTGTCATTCAGTAACAGGGAGCGGCCGAGGGGTGCTTCCGCCGTACCTGTCTCTGGCTGTAAGACTCTTTCAGCTTCTTTAGATGTGTCGTCATTTTCACCTTAAAGTGGATTTCACTGCTGTCCTGTGGGCGGAAACAGGAAGTGATGAGGAGCAGCAGGAGCAGTTTAACGACGGTAAGATGTCGAGAGAACGACAGAAACAAGAAAGGAGGCAGAAAGTAAAGATGAATCACACTCTACATGATTAAAATACGCTAATTTCAGATACAAAACACTCTCTTCAGAGGGACTAGAAATATATCATACTTGATTTCTTTCACCTGTTAACCTCATAAATATGGTATACATGATCAAGCAGTCACAGCTGGATCCAGGTACCGACCTTCCAGTTCACTTTTTAGGCAGAATCCCCTGATTTGATTTGCTTCTTTGAAATGGAATTAAATCTGAACTTCAACTGTACAGGCCTCCACCTTTTTTTTGTCAGAGATACCTGGTTTAATTTGCTTCTTTTAAATAGAATTACATCCGATAAAGACGAACACTGCATACGTGTATGTTTAAAGACTTGTGTGCAGGAAAGCAGCTCTAATAATCAATACTGTCTGACTGAATAGAACCTTTTTGCGTATATTATGGCAACTAAACTTCTACGGTGCAGGCCGACTATAACATGTACAGCTTACACATGACATCTAGGACCAGTGTTCACATATTTACTGGATCATTCAACTGAAAATCAAATCATTGGTAAAACAGCCACATTTGTGGATAACAGATGAGCAATACATTAATAATCAATATCCAGTGCATGCCTACACACCTGACCAATCACTTTTAACTTGATGTACTCTCCATCCTTCTTGTCCCCCCCGTCTTGGCTGGATGGTTTTGTCTCCTAAAATAAACAACAACAAACACACAAAACACTGAAGCAGCAGCAAACACCTGAACGCAGCACACCTTTCAAACAGGCCTGAAGGCTCAGTTTTACCCACATTCACACTGAATCCTGACTGGGTCGGTTTTAAAATGCTGCCTGGGTTCGTTATTCAACGGCAGAACTTTGAAAAATAAACTAGAAAGCGAAGCTAGCAGCTAGCAGCTAAATAAGCTGGGAGTTGTGGGCCTGAAGCTACATGAGCTAACGGTTAGCATGTTAGATAACCAGATCCGAGGCAGCGACCGCCGGGACGCTGCGCTGCTTTTCCTCCGTCTCGTCTTGATAATAAACAAGTGCGACTCCCCGCGGCTCCCGTCTCACCGTATCTGACATGTTGCCGTTGTCTGTCTGCGGTGAAAAACGTCCTGACAATAGATGCAGCGCTAGCTCTCAACCGCAGCTCCTGTTGGATGTTATGAGGCTTCGACAGCAACCGGAAGTGACGCAGCGACAGGCGTTTATCTCCACAGCGTCCGTAAACACACCGTCAGACGGCGGCAGCACCGAAAGCATTCGAGTCTAAAACGGAAATAAAATTATTATAGTTAACTTATTTACAATACACACATAAACACGTATTTATTAAATTAATACTTATAAATTTATGCCATATTTTATTTTAATTGATTTCAACCGTCTTAAGTATAAAAATCAAAAAGTCACAAACCGTTGACTAAATAACACTGATTCCAAATGCAAAGTCTGATCCAAATGTTTTTGGGTTTTTTTAGAATCTGTTAATCTAATTTATTGTTGTCAATACAGCAGATTTAAGTTTTGTTTTTTTTTTTTTTTTTTAAATAAAAAGTGAATTTAACAAGTTTAAATAGTGAGCAAAGACCATCTACTGTGGCTTAAAAGAATTATATAAAATACAATTGTACCTCATTATGATGCATATTAAGGATAATAGATATATGTGATGAAAGTATTATATCTAACTAATTCAGATGTTAAGGTTGAAGCCACTCAGTAGTATTTATTGTGTACGGTAACCTGACTAAGTCAGAACAAAAATACACAGAAACCCAACAAAGCCAAGTACTTCCTGGATCTTTCATTTAAAGTTTTAATGCTATGATTTAGTTTTTTGTTTGTTTGTTGTTTTATTTTCCATCACTGATTCCAAATGCAACAACAACCACGTGCACAATGAAACTGCACAAAGAAAGAAAATCTAAAACAAGAGCAAAACTCACTTAATTCAATTTATTGTTGTTTATTCAGCACGTTCACGCATTTTCTATAAGAGAATAAGATTGGCGTTACAAAATAACCTAACGAGTTTAAATATTTGGAGTTGAGAAAGTTGAATATTACCGATTAAAATTCCACAAAGAATTATAGAAAATACAACTTTATCTGATTATGATTCATATCTAGGCTCCACAGTGTTATTATTTATGGCTACTACCCCAAATAATTTAAATACAGGGACTATTGGCTAATTTTGGAACTAAGCTTCTTCTTCTTCTTCATTTTTTTAACCTATTTTGTGTTTATCTATTTATTATTATTTAAAAAAAAAAAAAGATATTTCTTTGTTTCTTATATAATCACAGAAATATGACTTGCATACATTGAAATTCTGCACATAAATCTGATCATAAACCATCTTGCATAGCATTCATACATACACGTTATTAGTTGTGTTAAAATGAACCAGTGCGTTTTGCATAACAGGTTTTATGAATTTAAAGCTGTGAGAGATGTTTTTTTTTTTTTTAATGTACACAATGATTAAATTCAGTGTGCATGTTTTCACAGCGGGTGTTCTATTCACAGATTCCTACTAAATTATTTCCTGCTGCCTTCCACAGGGCACATTATTTGATTATTTACATCAATAACATTTATAGCTAAACATGTGATTCAAGTATGGCATTGGTGCAGATAATCACTGGAAATGCAGACTTGTTTTATGCATGTGTTTGTGAGTGACAACAGATTATAGGCCTTTTAAATGATCATGCATCAAGTTTATTAGACATATAAGTGTACCCTCATTCATCCACATGGAAAAACATGAATAATATCATAACCGGGCAGTCATGGGAGCAAAAGTTGTCAGTAAAATACCGGGATCGTCATCGTGTTATGTGAATTAAAAGCATATGAAATATGTCGAAGGTATTTATTTGACAGCTTTCGGTCGTAATCCAGGAAACCGACACATTTCTCTGACATCACACACTGTGTTTTTGTTGGACTCTTCCAACGCGGCTGGGGGTTAAGACCTGCCGCTATCACCAAAATAAAAAGGAACATTTCCGGTCCCCTCCTGTCGACATAAAATATCCGCTGTGCTTTTTTATAGTATGGGATATTTCATGCTTTTATTTTGTCAGCAATACCGCGACACCTCCGGAAATTATTTATCCAACACCCGTACGCTTGACGCAGCTGTGGGGTCAACAGCGAGCGAAGCTACCGTTAACCTGCCCGTAAAGTACAACAAAATGAAAGCGGTCGATTAAATGCGCTGTTTCGTAACCGCTCGAACACGGAGATACTTTGGCGGACGAGTCGCTATCGTGTCGTTTTTCTCACTGGAAGCATCTAGCGGGCCAACCTGACAGACATCGGGCCTCGTCGTCGTGGCCCAGCAGGACTCGAGTGAAGTTGGGAGCGGACTGCCAAACTTCTGCTTCCTCCAGCGGCTCTCCGCAGGGCCCGGGGCTCCTGTCACCGGCCCTGTGGATGAGGAAGTGAACACAAACCCAATCAGCCCCCAGGTAAGAGGACGAACATGAAACGCTGCCTTTCAAACGTGGCGTTTGTTCGTTTGATGGCGTTTTTTTACGGCCGTGCACAGCAGGCGAGCTTTGAATAGCTACGCCGCTAGCAGTCAACTTTAGCATTAGCTTAGCTTGTCAACTTCCCTGCTCTGACAGCTAGCTGGAAGCGCAACTCTCGGCTAACGCTAGCCAGCTAGCTTCCCGTAGCAGCTCTGTATGTGTCGCTGAGCGTGTTCTAGTTTATATTTCAAGGCGACATATTGTTAATTAAGCACATTTTGGCACCGTCTCAAATGTCAAATTGGCTAGCAACAGTTGTTAGCTTGCAGGGGCTACTCCGCTAACGCTAGCAAGTTAATTTAAAGCTAGCTAATTATCGAGCAAAGGAGGCCATAATGCTGTCAGTGTTGTTGGTATCAACTTTGCTGTCACCAGTGGCATTGGATCTTTTACTAGCCAGCGCAGAGTTATCTGTTGGAAACATATTAAACATCCCCTGGAAATATCACAGCTCTAGCATCAACTTGAATTCAGTCGCAGGCAGTAATCAATCAGTGATTATCAATACATCTCATCACCAATATCCTATAGACTCTAAATCAGCAGAAGGAATCTCAACTTAAATTTCAATTCATTTTGTTCAAACTGTCAATGTCTGTGCTGGACACCACTAATAACCAACATAATCAAAACTAAGTGATGATTGTGTTAGAGAAATGATGCCTCCTCTGTTTATCTGACTGTGTTAATTATACATCCAGGTTTATGGAATGGTTAACCTTTGTTGTCCTCTTTATCAGAGAGCTGCAGCTGTAAATAACTGCGCCGGTCAAGAGTTTGCATGCAGAACAGTTTAAATGATCATAAAGGAGCTTGAACTCAACCAGTTACAGAATTGTGTTGATTGCATGTCACTGCAAAAAAAAATAAAAAATACTGCAATAATTTAATGTACAATCCATTCACATGGCATCTTCTGCTTTTCAGACTGCGTTGTTCCGATTGTGTTAGTGCCGGACGGACATTTTTACAGTGTTCACTACTTTTTCAGTAAAGACTGTGATAACTTTTACAGTCACTGATGTGGATTAAATCTCCTCCAACAGAACATTGAGTTTAACGCGGTGCTGGCGGCGTAAACACTCATTCTTAGGCTCACAGAAGTAACAGTGGTTCTGTTTAGTTCAGTGGTACACGGATTGTTCTGGGAAATCATCTGAGAAACGGCACGAAAACAACAAACAGGAAAGCAACGTCGGTTTTGACTAAATTAACTTCAAACCCCGTATTATCACACACGACCTTCTCAGTGATGTGCTGTAAACCGTATATATCATTACTTAATAAATCAGCCTGCATCATAGTGAGACGTGTTTACTGTAAACTAATCAGCTCGGTAATTAAGACAAATAATAATAATAAAGTAATTAGCATGTGAGTGTGTGATTTGCACTGCACGTAAAACACTTTATATACGTCTTTTATCTTTAGGTTACCACAAAGTACGTCTTTATTTTGAGTTTGTCAAGTAGGACAATGTCACTTCCTTATTGTGCATTTTACGTTTTCTTATTGTTTATTTTTACTTATTGTATATTTTTGCTTATTTATGTGTATTTATGGTGGCGGTAACTTGACTCTTTCTGCTGCAGAAACCGAGTTTCCCCTCAGGAAGTATTTCTGCTCAAAGTTTGTTTTTGAGATGATGCAGAAAACCAGCTGGAGATTTAAGCAACAGCTCGCCCTCCTGCTGCTCTGCAGGTCGCTGTAATGACACCATCCTGACAACTCGGCTCGCGTTTTGTGGCAGTTATAAAGATACTATAAGAAAGATGTTCAGTTCCCGTGGTTACCATTTATTTGCCCCACATCGTAGCCAGCTCACGAAACCTCTGGCCCGGTGTTTACAGATCTGCTGATCAGTCAGCAGCTCTTCTAGCTTGTGTCCCAGTCAACTGCATGTCAGGATTTATGTTGTCTTTCTGCTGTTACAGGAGAAAGGAATCCCTTTGATGGGAGAATCCTCTTTCCTGGCCTCCTGGGTCAATCGCCGTGCCATGATGATGGGTACGTATGTGTGCTTGGAGGTCGTGTTTCTGCTTGGCAGTGAGCCAGCCTTATCTTTTGTCAGACCTACAACTCAAGGAATGTTTTTTTTCTCCTCCAACAATGGTTCTTTGACATCTTTGCCTCACACTGATCCTTTGTGTTCTGGGCTTAAGTCTAAGTGGCCTGTAATGTGTTGCTACCGCAGATAACAGAAGTAGTTCTTTTATATGTGTTTAGCTCTTGAAGAGAAAAAACTCTTCAGGCGAAGGCAACGTCGCTCGTTGTTGTGAAGAATAACTTGGATTCTTCCAATATCAGTTAAATCAACTCAAATTCACAAAAGGAATTAGACTGAAAAGAACTTAACATGTGTGTTAGATGTAAGTAAATCTTTTGCAATGCAGCTGTGTGCAGTTTGGTTTTTTTCATCTCACTGTCCAGTTTTTCTTCAGTAATTTTCTTTTCCATCATCGGTTTGATCAGTTTTAACAATGAAATGCGTTCAATAAACCAAACTCCCGTCGTCTTGCAGATGAGCAGGAGGCGCTGAACTCGATCATGCAGGACTTGGCCGAACTGCACCGCTCCAGCCGTCCTGCCATGTTCCTGCCGGACCTGGGCAAACCCAAAGCCTCCTCGCCCAAGAATCAGGTACATGATCTAAATCCTGAGGAGCAGAAGTTAACAAAACCTTGATGCTCAACATCCTGGAGAAGCTGTTTTTGTGGTGTTTTGTTGCTGAACTTGATTCTCTTTCCAACAGAACGATGTGAGAGTGAAGTTCGAGTTCAAAGGGGAGAAGAGGTGAGGTTTAGTTCAGGGTCATCACGGTCATGCTGTCAGTGCAGCTCCTCCTGACCTCTGACCTTTGTTCTCTGCAGGATCTTGCAGTTTCCTCGACCCGTCAAGCTGGAAGACCTGAGGGCGAAAGCCAAAGTGGCTTTCGGCCAGACGATGGACCTTCACTACACGAACAACGAGGTACAGATCCTGGACACACTTTGAAATGCGTATTGAGTTAAATCTTAGAAAGACTGACATGTGCGCTACGTCTTGTTTTCCTCTTGCAGTTGGTGATTCCGTTGACCACTCAGGACGACCTGGACAAGGCCGTAGAGCTGCTGGATCGCAGCGTTCACATGAAGAGCCTGAAGATCCTCCTGGTGCTCCAGATGTCCTCTCAGGTCAGACAGACCCCACGAGAAGATCCTCGGGAATGATTTTAATCCCGACTTTTACACTTAAACACAACACGCGCATGTGAAGAAAAGCTGCTTTGATTTTTTTTTTTTTTCTGTGTTTTAGTGACGAATCGAACAGTTGGGCTGAGACAAGACGTGTTTTTATACTTGAATCCATAAACATTTAAAATCTTTTTATAGGAGATTGTTTTAGCTTCAGAGGTTACCTGAACGTTCAGGCACAAAACAAAGCATTAGAATTTCTCCTACTTGATTTGTTCTGCTGACATCATTTGACAGCCATCGATATATCGACTAAGAGTTTCGTGTCGTTGCTCCTCCAGAACTCTTCCTCCAACATGGACCTGTTGCCGTCCCACGAGGAGCTGGACAACACGGGATTCAGGGTCGCGGACAAGAAGAGCATGCTGGCTTTGATAGGTGGGTAATGTCTCGCCATCAACCTTTGAAGAAAACTCAAAATTTAGGAATTAGAAATGAACCAGATTCTCTCCGACCGTCCTCAGGTTCCCACTCAACAGACCGCAGCTCTCCTCCTCCAGGATACATTCCCGACGCTCTCCAGCAGGTGGCGAGGAACGGCTCCTTCACCAGCATCAACAGCGAGGGCGAGTTCATCCCTGAGAGCATGGACCAGGTACCACCGCCCTGGACGGCCGAGTTTATTACAAAGAGGAAGAACCGCGATGATTGAACGCTCTGACGACGCTTCTTGTTTTAGTTTTTACATCATAGCTGGGCTGAAATGAGCTCAAGTCAATGAAAACTGTCGCACATTCTGGCTCCACAGTACATTTTCAGGAAGCTTAGTTTGTGACGCGGTGTTTTGGCTGCGACGTCGGACTTTGCAGCAGCTGTTTAACCAGGAAATCCGTCGACGGGAGGAAGTGTTGTTTTGTTTGGCTGCTCAAGTCACGCGCTGGTGAATTCACTGTCGTCCTAAAGGGTTTTGTGGTTCATCTGGAGGAAATGTTGAGTCCCTGATAAGCACTGAAACAGAGCCGGGAGCACAAAGCAGGGCACGTCGTGGGTGCGTTTACGGCTCTTTAATTACTACTTAAAGCATCTTCCGCACATGCAAGCGTGGTCGTAAAGACGTTGGTGCGCAGGTCAGCGTGGTCCCTTCAGGCAGTTTATTTAACGTCCTTACCTCACTAGAGTCCCTGCTGCTTTACTGTAAGTGGCCTGGAAGCAATTACTGCTGCAGGTCTGTGGGGAGAAAAGTGTGTTTTTCATGTTTTGTAGGTTGTAAAGGTTTGAACGCTGCAGAAAAGTCCATTTATTTGTGTTATTTCGGACCAGGCTTACATGAAGTTCTTCCAAGCGGAGGATTGCGACGCGTGTGAGTTTCTTCCTCTGATTCTTTTTCCTCCTTTTTCTTCAGATGCTGGATCCGTTGTCGATGAGCAGTCCGGAGAACTCTGCGTCTGGGAGTTGTCCCTCTTTAGACAGCCCACTGGACAGGTCAGGCCACTTTTTTGTTTTTGTTGTTTTGTTGAAAATGCTGCTACAGTCTGAGTCATTTAATGAGTATCAGCTGATCTGCATCACAAGAAAACACACGTACAGGTCATGAGATGAGGAGAGGCAGAATGTAGAAGGTTGAAATCCAGCCACATGCTCATCGTTGCTTTGTGTTTGTGTTGCACAGTGATTACCCCAAGTCCAGGATGCCCAGAGCTCAGAGTTACCCCGACAACCACCAGGACTTTACAGGTAACCTCAGTATTAAAATGAGTCCTTTTCACATCTAAAAACACGACCTCTGTAGCTAGAACAAGTTAAATCACCCGCCTGCAGCAGCTGCGTGTCGCTGCTCTTCATTGAACCGCCCTCCTTTCCTCTGCAGAGTACGACATCCCCGTGTTCGAGAAGTCGGGGAAAGGAGGGACGTATCCTCGCCGCTACGGCATTCCCTTCGGCCTTCAGGACTACAGTGATGGTGGGTCATTATTTTCTGCCTCATTCTGTCAGTGGGATGCAAACATACTTCCAGGACTTTTCTTGTAGGTTCTTCTCTGAGGATGATGTTTGTTTCTTACTGATAGAGTAGCATCACTGTTCTGACTGAGAATCTACACAGACTGAACACAAACTGTTTCTGATTGTCCCTGCAGGAAGGAAGACTTTCCCTCGCGCCCGGCGAACGCAGGTCCACGGCTTCCGCTCGCCGGTCAGCTTCAGCCCGACCGAGCAGTCGCCCAGCACCAGCAGCGGCAGCAGCGTCTTCACCCCCGACCTGGAGGAGGCCCCGGGGCCCGCCAGGAGGCCGCGGAGGGGCAGCGACATCGAGCCCAACCCCAACCCGACCGCCGCTCCCACCCTGTCGGTCATGGACATCAGCCCGCCCAGCCGCTGTGAGTCCTCGTACGGTTTGAATGCAGCCGTTGAGCCAGACGTCTCCTCCGATACCTGACCTCTGTTTGTGTTTAGCTCCTCGCGCTCCGACCAACTGGCGGCTGGGGAAGCTTCTGGGCCAGGGCGCGTTTGGTCGGGTTTTCCTGTGTTACGACGCCGACACTGGACGGGAACTGGCAGTCAAACAGGTCCAGTTTGACCCAGAGAGTCCCGAGACCAGCAAGGTATGTGGCTTCTGAGCCGTTATCGTGTGTTAGAACTGGACAGGAAGAGATTGAAGCGATGTTTTCTTTGTTTACGTCCTGCAGGAGGTGAGCGCGTTAGAGTGTGAAATCCAGCTGCTGAAGAACTTGTGCCACGAGCGGATCGTCCAGTACTACGGCTGTCTGCGGGACACCATGGAGCGAACGCTGTCCATCTTTATGGAGTACATGCCCGGGGTGAGCGCTCAGCGGGCCTGCATGCTTATGGCCGACGTGCTTGTTGTTATTTGTGTTTGCTTTTATCCTGAAGCAAGCAGAGCAGCTGTTGTGCTACAGTGTTCAGATCTTTGCATCAGAACAAGACTGGAAACACGCAGCCCTTCCTCTCCTGGAGGCGAAACAGACAACATCTGCTGATGGACAGACAGTATAATTTACTGATGTTCCCTAAATGCCTCACATGCTAACAGCAAACGTTAGCGAGGTGCACAGAGAAGCCTCCAGTCTTTACTGCTCGAAAAGAGTGAAGTGAGGAGCGTTGATGTCAGATTTACCTGCTTTAAAAGCAAGCGCTCGTGTCTACACGGACTGTTTTCTTTGTGCAGAATCCTCATGGTGATTAAAAGCCACTTAATTCTGCAGCCTTAGTGCTCATTTATTATTTACTGTGTTCATTTATTTGATGTGAATTATTACTCGCGCCAAAGCTAAAGCCTAAACTTCCATGTTGCTCAGATATTTATGGTGTTTAAGCAGAGTTATGTGATCGGTTTTAAGCCTACAGTGGTCATTAGGGGTGTGAAAAGTCTTTTTTTATTTTCTTTCTGGTTCATCAAACATGTACTTATCATAACTGTGATGTTTCTGATGAATCTCTCAGGGCTCCATCAAGGACCAGCTGAAGTCTTACGGAGCGCTGACGGAAAACGTGACGCGCCGCTACACTCGGCAGATCCTGGAGGGGGTTTCCTACCTGCACAGCAACATGATCGTCCACAGGGACATCAAAGGTGGCTTAGTGTTCCGTTTCTCGCCGAGTGTTGAAACAGAAACGCAGCATCTTCTGCAGACGGTGTAGAGCAATGAGTTTCTGTCCTCCGTTCAGGGGCCAACATCCTCCGCGACTCCGTGGGCAACGTGAAGCTCGGAGACTTCGGGGCGAGCCGGCGGCTGCAGACCATCTGTCTGTCGGGAACAGGCATCAAGTCGGTGACCGGGACTCCTTACTGGATGAGCCCAGAGGTGATCAGTGGGGAAGGTTACGGCAGGAAGGCTGACATCTGGTGAGAGCACTCAGTTTATTCCACCTCGTGCCTCTTAGAGAGTAGAAAAGTGCTAAAAAGGAAGTAAAATAGGATTTGAAAGTGGTGTTAACTTGGATTCAGGATCCACACAGCTCCAAAAAAAAACGTCACGTTCACTTATCAGACGTATTTATTCATGTTTGTATCAAGCTTTGTGTCCGAGATGCATCTTTTACAAGTGATTCATCTGCTTTTCCTCCAAAAGAGTTGATCGTGAACCTTCTGAACTCCATCTGAAATCTGCTCATATTTAGCTTTCGACTGAAAATGTTAATACATAATAAATGCATAAAAGCTCAGAGAATCACATTTTGTAAACAAGAACAGAAATTAATGTCGGTGTGGAGCTGACGTCAGAATGAACTGGGCCCAAAAACCTGTTATCAGAACATCCCCGAATCCTTGTTTCTCGCTGCACAGAAACAGGACGTGCCATCAAAGATTTCAGCGACGGTGCCTTTAAAAATCAACAGCTGGGTCTGATTTTAATGCGGCTGTCGTCCGTGTAAAAGTGGCCTCCTTGTGCAGCGATGCTCTGCTCCCAGTGCTCCTGCAACGCTCCTGCAACGCTCCTGCAACGCTCCTGTGTGCGTCAAAACAGCAGCTGTTGAATTTCATTTTTGGGAAGAAAGGAAACGAACTCAGCGGGAAAGATGGTGGAAACCGACGATTGTGTTGTTGTGGCCAAGCACAGCTGGAGCATCTGCTTCTGAACTTAAGGTGGAGCTCTGCCTTGATGATCCGAACCTGGACGGATGAATTAACTGCACCACCACGTGAATGTTGAAGAAAACAAGGAGCATGCTGATGCACCGTCTGTGGTTGTGGAAATCTTTCACTGTGACAGCTGCAGTTTCTTCTCTTGGTGGTCGCTGCAGACCCGCCTTTCCTCCCCAACGGTGATCCTCCACATGAAGTTTGAGGCCTTGTCCACACGTAGCGGGGTTTTTATTAAACTGAACACCCTCCCCCCGACACACCACCTCGTTTTTAGAAAAAAATCATCCACACCGAACTGCACACGTGTGTTGTTCAGCACATTCATAAGCTGCCAAAGCTTTAGGTGGCAGTAGTTCCCCAGATCCCGTCCAATCAGAGTAAGCCTCCGCCTCTCGTATAATAACCGTCCTTCGCCTGTGTTCTTGTATATGGAGCGGTATCTAGGCCTGGACCAGAGACAACACAGGTCCGAGGGCGTCCACGCTGTTTCTGATGTAAACGCAGGTCGTATATGTGACGTGAGAACATATTTTGTTGCAGTCAGTGACGTTTCGAAACACATACAGACGCATGAACGGAGGATTCCCAAGTTATCACTTTGGTCGGAGGTTTTTGAAAGAATCGTTTTTAATGCCGTGAATCTGCGCTTTAGTGTGAATGACAGGTCGAATCGTAGAATAATAGCTTTGTTTGTTTTGCTACGTGTGGACGAGGCCACCGCAGCTGCTGATTGACACAAAACCACGAGTTAAACACGTCACGCTGTTGAATTCGGACCGTGATGTTTCCTCTGCTCTTCTGTCTTCCTCCTTTGCTCGTGCTGATTGTAACTCTCTGTGTTTTGCCTGCAGGAGTGTCGGCTGCACCGTCGTGGAGATGCTGACACAGCGACCCCCGTGGGCGGAGTTTGAGGCCATGGCAGCCATTTTTAAAATCGCCACCCAGCCAACGAACCCGGTTCTGCCCGCCCACGTGTCGGACCACTGCCGAGAGTTTCTCAAACGGATCTTCGTGGAGACGAAGCAGCGGCCGTCTGCAGATGAGCTACTGAGGCACATCTTTGTACATTAAGTTTTAACCCCCCGCCCGCCCGCCCGCCCGCCTGCCGAACTGCCAAACACGGCCTTACCTGATGTGGCGGTCCCGCCTCTGACTCCGCCCCCTCCACCTTCACGCTGAGGCCACATTGGACCAGGACGAACTGGCTGCCAGAGGAAGGTGGGGTGTGCAGGCGGTTGAACATCCTGTCTCTGTTTGTATGAGACGGCCATAGAGGACATGAATTTTTATTTTATTTTTCTCCGCAAGTTGCACCTTAATTTCTGGGACACGGAGGGGTCGAGCGCCTCCTCCTGAAAAACGACTCTTTGGAAAAACGTCTCCCTTTTTTATGTTTGTACGGTTTCTCTCTCGGAGTGTGTCGGTGTTGTGGACCTACAGGAAGTGATGCCTGACTCTGGAGTGGCCCCGCCCCCCCATCTCGCTGACCCGACCCCAGAATGTAGTCTCCTGCCAAAACCCAGAGCGACGGCGATGACCTGGGCCCGCTGCTATAGACGAAACGAAACCCCAGATGCAGAGAACACTCCCCGAAAAGTTTCCACTCGCCTGCCCTCATCCCTCGTCTTTGTCCGCTCTGTTTTTCCGATCAAGCTCTGCTTTCGTGTCCGCCTCCTCCTCCTCCTCCTCCTCTTCAACCCCCATCTTCGTTCTTTGCCGTGTGCCTTTTCTGTTTTTAAACGCAGTGTAGGAATGAGTCTTGAGTTGTTTTGCCTCCCGGATAAACTGCCTTCGCACCGTTTAGCCCAAAAGCAGCTGATCTCAGTTCAGCCGTGACGTCCGTTTCTGCCTTTTTTCTGCAACAGGGACTCGTGATATTGAGCAGGGGTCGTCCTGATCCCACCTCAGCTCATCCGGTTCGTTTGCCTGCTGTACCAGCTCCTCTGGCTGGCAACCAAATATCCCTCAGACCTTCTGTTCGAAAAGCCTGCCGTGCTGGTGTCGAGGCGAAGGAGGAGGCTCGCTCGTTCTTCTCCCGCAGCTTCTCAAAGTCCTGGGCGTCCGGTTGGTTCAGCTCTCGTCCGGGCGGATTAAGAAGCGGGTGAACGTTGGCTTTTATTGGTTCTCGTGCAGCTCAGACTCTGGCAGAGCGTTTCGTTTCAGTCGCAGGGTGTGTGAGGGGAAAGAATCCCATCCTGAAACATGAGATTGAGGGTTTAATAAGTGATCGAGCAGTAAAAGTTGTGCTTCTGTGAACATCTGCTGTTGAAGGTAAAAACATGGAAGACAAGATCGGGCTGAAGAATTAACCTTTGAATTGAGGAGGAAACAACTGACGGTCATAAGTTGCTCAAATATCTGCAAAAAACCAGTTGTTCACTACTTGAATTTTTCCGTCTCCGTACACGACGAACCACTTCGACGTCTATCAGAAGCTCTCAGTCGCTCTGTCGTCCGTCTAATTTCAAACTGAAGCGTCCGACGTGAAGCGCTGCTCCCCGTTCAGCCGGCCGGTCTCCTCCTGCTTCCTGTTCTCCGTGGCGGTGCCATGTCGTGTCGGACGTCCTGCTCTCTGTTGGCTTTCAGCTCTCCCGCAGGTGAGACTCACCTGAACATGTTTACAGTCTCACAGCGCTTCGTTCTCATCAGCAGTCAGCACTGCAGTCGCTCTTCTTGCCAAATCAGATGCATCCACGTCAACTCGTCACTTTAGCCAAACCACAGCATCGACTCTATGCACACACCGGACAGCAGGACCACCTCGTCTTTTTTTTATTTTAATAATCGTCGGCTCATCTTGTTTTTGTTGTAGAGAATTAATGTTTCGTCAGCAGCCGATCAAACAGTCGTTGCTCAAACTGTCCCACACTGAAGAAGTCGTTATTTATCACACACGCCCGAAATATTCCCAAATATCAGCAGAAGAATCTGAATCGTTTCGCTCCACGGTTTCATAAACAGACGATATCTGAAGTTGAACTTTTTTTTTTTGCAGAGCAGGTGATGGAAATATTTCTGCTTTTAAAGGTGCAATCGTAATTTTTTTCTTTCTTTCTTTTTTTAATATTTTGGTTTCCAAAATCTTTCGAGGCCGATAAACTGAAGCTGAAGTTGTGAACTGGGTGTTTTTTTCGCTGCTAGCTCCTCGATGAAACGTTAGGGTTGTGACGGTACGTGAAATTAGTTTGTGGCACTCACTGCGCAACGCATACATCAGCCTTAAAGCGACCAGACTTTGGTACGACTAAACCAACTGTTGTTGTAGTTCCCTCCGGTGGCCACTAGGTGCTGCTAAAGGGTTGACTGATTGCACCTTTAAAGGCAGGCGGAGGTGGATTCCTTCACACCATGTTCTCTGAAGGCACTTAAACTGGTCCACGAGGTTCTGTTGCTCTGTGGTAATGAACGAACGCGAAGCCGGTACGTCCACACAGGTGGTGGAGCCCTCACATTATGCATTTTCACCGCGGTACCACAACAGGAAGCGATCGCTTGGGATCCCGTCATGGAAGCATTCGTGGTTGTATTGAGTTTGAGGCGGCCGACAGTGACCTGTCTGGTACAGATGGAGCTTGGAACGCCGCCAGCACTGGTAAACCTTGATACGCACTACCATTATGCACTATCGATTATTCACTGATGCTTTTTCACGGCTCCTCGTCGCTCGTGCAGCTCGGTTCAGCGACCTTTTCTTTGCACATTTAAAAGACTGTTTTTTTTATTTTTTTTTATTTTTACTGTGTGTGTGTGTGTGAGAGAGAGAGAGCAGGTGTGTGTGTGTGTGTGTGTGTGTGTGTGGATGGTTCGGTTAACCTTTACATGAATGTAACGTGTCATTTTTGCCGTCAGGTGGCCTCGTTCACCACAGTGGATTAACTCTTCGGTACCAGTATTTGTCACCTGCAAACGCCAAGATACACCTGTAGTTCTCTCTTTAGTGTCTAAAGCCACTGCTGCCACTCCCGTGTGTGTGTGTGTGTGTTGTGTACGATTGTGTGTGTGCGCGAGATGTTTGTGTGTTTGTGCATTTACTGCAGATTGTGCTCATTGGACACTGCGCCCGAAATGCCTTGAGCATTCTGACTGTAGGGGGATGAGAACATTAAAATGACTATAAAATGAATTTAACACAAAAATCTAAAAAAAAAATAAAATAAAAAAATCATGTACAAATGTATAAAATTAAATTGTACGCCTTTCTTTTTTTTTTTTTTAAAGGAAAAGTACACTTATATCCCACCTGTTTGTTCTGTGTATTGTAAAAGAAGCCATGTTTATAATTCTAATTGGTTTGTGACCAATACGCCTGTTTATATCAGATCTGTATATCAGTGGTACGCATAATTTTTTAATATATATTTTTTATTTTACTTTTTTTTAAATGGGAGATTTTATGCATGGTTGGGTCCTGAGAGACGCAGCGGTGCCGTTGAATGGTTGCTGTTTTTTGGCAAAATTCTGGAGTATTGCGACAGCTCTGTGTTCATAATTACAGCAATTATGACTATGATGATGACAACAATAAAAGATATTTATTTCACGGGGGGTGAGCGTGTGTTTTATACCCACATTTGTGTGTTTGTTTTCCAACAAATGAGCTCCCAGTGACAGATCCACATGCATAATTCAGAACATTCTGAACATAAATACTGACTTTTTCAAACTGTTTTAAGCACTTTCAGAAGAAGAGTTTGGATCCAATTTACAAGTACGATTTTGGCAACTAAAACTTTTCTTTACATTAAAAGAAAATTGTGTGTTTTTTTAATGATATTGTTAATTCTTTGTGCTTTTATGTACATTTTTGTAAGCCGAAATTGACCGGAAGCTGCATATTGCGTCTTCTTTGAAGCTTTTATTTTTAGATCTGACCGGAAGTGTGAGCGTGATAGATTGTCTCTTGCTTTATAGCTGCCCTCTGGTGACTGAAATGTGTAACTGCATCCTTAAACTCAATCTGATGGAGTCCACAAGTGGAAAGAAATATTATACAACTTCTGACATCCATCTTTGTTTTCCTGCAAAATTAAAAGACAAACGGCAACAGATAAATGAATAAAGCTTTATCAATAAAGTTTTATTCTATTCTATTCTAGATACAAACAATCCTTCCTCGTACAAAACAATTAAGAAACGTGATCACAATATTTATCAGACAGCAGAGGAAAAAAAATCAGAGTTTTTATTTTATTTAACAGAAATAATCTGAAAAATCAGATCTCTGTCTCACTATAAAACCCTACAGCGACTGAAAAAAAGCTAAATATTAATATAATAAAGTCTGTTGTTTTTTTTAAGTCTTTCGTGCGTCTCACCCAAAAGCAGATGTTGCTGCAGATGAACCAAAACAAGACTATTGTGAAACTTCTGTCAACTTGTTGCAAGATCTTCTATGACTAGACTTCACGCCACCGCTTTCCTCTTTTTTTACTTCTGTGTCTCCATATTTAAATGATGTGGCGTTTCTGAATCACACGTACGACGATTCAAACCAAGGAAGATGGAACCCTACAGCCTGGACAGTTTAATAAAAAAGTGTTGTTTATCTCTATGGCTGTTCTACTGGAGCCAAGTCACAGTTCTCATGTTTTCTTCTTTAAAAACTCTTGTGTGGTTTTGTTCTTTGGATGCTGCTCATGCTGGATGTCTTCTGGGAGTCGTCTTATCGTCGTATGTTGGTTCATCCTCAGACATTCATCGTTTTCCACTCATGCAGCTCCGCATCATGATGCTGCCACCCCCGTGCTTCACCGTCCGGACCATGCATCCACTGTGGGAGTCCATTCATCTTGATCTCTCAGAGAATGTGTTCTCCATGTGCGTCAGGCTTCTTTTCATGTTCACTTGCCAAGTGTAATCTTGCCCTTTGTCTCGCCCTGAGAGGCAGATGTTGTCACAGAAACTCTGGTTTCCATCGATAACTCCAAGTCAGACGCACTTCCTCTGATCACAGAGAGATTGTGGAAGTTGTTCGCTGGCAGGAGGACGAGCGCTGCAGCCCTGATTAGTCCACTCACATGATGAAGTTCACTCAGAGAGGCTTCATCACTTCAATGCATTTAAAGTGAGCCTCCTCCAGGACAGCTTCATATAGAAACAACCAGGACAGGACAGACGGCACCGTGACTCCTGATCACTGATTCTCTGGTGATCTGCCTCCATCTGGGCGTCACAATCAGATTATTTTAGTTTCTGTGCAGACATGAAGACACCTTGGAGGATGAATCTCAGATCTCTTGTTTCTGATAGTTCAGCAGAGCCATGGTGGAGTTTTGTGAATCATCTCAGTGACTTTGCACAGCAGAGAACTCACTTCTGTTTGCTGGATGTGCAGGACTGAGCAGTACTGAGGGCTGCCTGCAGGGAGGGTGCGCACACACACACACACACACACACACAGACACACACACACACACACACACACACACACGCAGGAGGAACGGCTGCAGCCGAGCTGCTGCTTCTACTTGTGGAGTAAAAACCAGCACACACCCTCCACCATGGGCTCCCCGGCGGCTGCATCTTGGCCTCTCCGGCTCCCTGCGCTCCGTCCGCGGACACTCCGGGCGCCTCGGGCCGCTCCTCCTCCTCCTCCTCCGCTGCTGCTGCTGCGACCCGGAGCCTCCGTCTCGGCCCGCAGGGGGCTCAACGTCCAGGCGGCGGCGGCGGCGAAGCTGAAGAGCATCGAGGATCTTCCGGGGCCCAGCACGGCCACCAGCCTGTACTGGCTGCTGGTGAAGGGCTACGCGGAGAAGACGCACCTCCTGCAGGTACCGAGCGCGCTCCGGCCTCACAGCCTGTCGGTCTCCAAGTGGAGGAAAGTTCCGAGAAGGAGAAGCCTGCCATGGCTGCTGCAGAGGAAGTGATTCAGAAAGTTAGAGGAAGAATCAGAGTTTGTAGTAACTTTAATGATTCTAATTAGTGGTTTAATGATCACGTGTCTTCATGTCCGGTTCTTCAGTCACATGAGGAACATTTTGCTGTCAGATGAACAGATTTAATGTTTACGTCCATCTAATGACCACGTTTCATGTCCGGTTTGATTCTAGCTGACAGTAAATCACCGCGTTGTGCTGAAAGCTGCTGCTGGTGATCATGTGATGATTTAAAAACCTTCTGCTGTCAGTTAAAGTCACTTCTTGTCTGTTGAAGCCTTCAGACCGCAGAGTTGTGTCCATTGGAAATATGAAATATATGAAAAATGACTTGAAACATCATCACTGAGAGTTAAAGTTACACTGAGGGCAGTTTGATGGAGCTGCAATCAGCATGAATTCATATTTATGAGGGAAAAAGCGTCAGAGCAAACTGATGAACTCTTTCTGAGCTGCTTTACGTTTGATTACTGACAAAATGCATGTTTTAACTGTTTTAACCTCAGATCCTCATATTTATGCTCAAACAGTCTCTGATTTGTATGAAATTGTAACAACATGCATGATGTGTATCTGTAAAGATATTTGTGAAATTTTAGCTTCACATATTAAATAATTTCAGATATATTTGCATTTTAAAAACAAGGTTCAGTCACACATTAAAATGGGTCTAAAAATGGAAAATACTCCCGTAAAACTTTTATGTTCTTACTTTCAGAGACTGTTGTTGTCATTCATGTTTAAATTATTATGAAAGTTCAACCAAAAATCACTTTATTTTCCATTTTTATAACCATCTTATTCACATTATGTCTTCTACAGCTTTAGTTTTGTGTTTTTGTGACGTGTGGTTCAGAAAACGTCTCTTCTGCTTTATTCATGTTTTGTTCATTTGAAATAAGAGAGAAAACTTCAGGTTTTTATCTTTAAACGTTCCTGAGATGTTGTCGCTCAAAAAGCATTTTAAAGATAAATTTAACTTGCAAAGTGTTTAATACGTGGAGCTAAAGTTACACAGATAACATTTTAAATATTTAATGATGGAAAAGGTTCAAGCAAATCAGAGGTGGTTGAGCAGAAGAACTCTGACGATTTGAGATGAGAAACCCAAAAAGTAGTGATGCACGATATTAACAGCTCTGAACGATATCGATATCAAGATTTCTGATATCGGCAATAACCGATATCACCGATGTCGATATTCAATTTTTGTTCACACCAAAAAACAAGTATAAGTGTGAGAACGTGAAAACTATTCAAAAGAAGCCAAATTAGACAACAAAAGTGAAACATGTTTAAACATATTTTAACATATTTAACGTTCAAGTCCAGGAAATAGCAGCGACATCAAACGTAGAGACGAAGGCGCTGATGTTAGACCATCATCGGCTAAATCTGGTCATCGGACCGACACCGATAAAAGCACTAATATCAGCTGATACCGATGTGATCGCTGATGCATCGTGCATCCTTCCCTAAAAGTGAAGGAACTGCTGTTAGATTCTGTTCATGCACCTCAAAGTTCACCCCAGTACAAACTTCAGCCTCCTTTCTTTGCTTCTCGCTTCGACTCCAGGGCGTCCAGAAGAACCTGTACGGACCCATCTGGCGCTCCAGGTTCGGCCCGTTCGACATCGTCAACGTGGCGACGGCGGACCTCATCGCTCAGGTGATCCACCAGGAGGGCCGGTACCCGGTCCGGGCCGAGCTGTCCCACTGGAAGGAGTACCGGGACCTGAGGGGGCAGGCGTACGGGCTGCATGTGGAGTGAGTGGACGTAGTGTTGTCAGCCTCTACTTTGGGTTCTAGCACGTTCTTCTAGTTCTACACTGGTGAATGTTGTGTGCTGCTGCCAGAGGAGATCGTCTGGAAACGTGCAAAGTGACGATAAAGTGTGATTTGGTATTTTTATTCAGCAGACAGGGAATTAAAAAATAACAACAACAAAAAAAACAGCAGCTGGATCAAAGATGTCAGACGGCTAATATCGACCAAAACAAACATTTTTAAACATAAAGTTTAAAGTTCTGTGAAAGTAAGTTTAAAAAACCATTTTGATGGGCATGTTTTCCATTTTCAAACCCGTTTCGGTGAACTCTAGAAGGTAAACCCTGTGCTGACTTGATTCGTTGTCCTGTTCATTTAGCTCATGGACTGTGAGCATGTCCTCATTTTCCCTTAACGAGTTATAAAACTAAGCACACTTGAATAAACTGGACTTGAAACGTTCTGTTCCTGGACTGAACACAGACCCAACAAGGCAAAAGGGCAAGAAAAAAACCCAAGAAAAACTTGACGAAAACTTCCCGGGCGGCTGTGGCTCAGGTGGAGTTCCTCAGGGCTCCGTTATGGGTCCTCTTGTTTACACCAAAGAACAGAACAATAGAATAGAAACACTTTGTTGATCCTTCAGTGGCCTGAATACAAATAAATAAGAAAAATAAAGTACAAAATACACAATAAAGTGTAAAATATGCTGCTGAAGTGTCAAGTGCACGAATGGACTTTAGAAGAAATATGCAACGAAAGACGGGAATTAAAATGTTCAAGCAGAGAATCATTTACGATCCTTCTGAACCCTTACAGCACAGGACCAGAATGGTACCGGATCCGCAGCGTCCTGAACCCCAAGATGCTGAAGCCGCGGGAGGTGATGAGCTACGCTCCCGTCATCCACCAGGTGGTCGGAGATCTGCTGCAGCGCGTCGAGCTGCTGCGGCGTCGCAGTCCGGACCAGGCCACGGTCTCAGACCTGGCCGCCGAGTTCTACAAGTTCGGCTTTGAAGGTGAAACTCTTCAGTGTTCATGTCAGGGTCACATTTTGACTTTTGGTTGCAGCTCTGTGTCCCTTTCTGTAGTTTTTAGGACAAAATATGAGACACTTTTTAAATTTTCTCTTAAATTTCAAGTCACATCAACGGGGATCCACAGATTTAATGTGTTTACATCAATCTAAATATTAATATGACCTCATTTTTTGTCCATTTTTACAAATCTTGATTAAAATTTTATCCAAATAAAACTACAGCATGACAGTAAACCACCTTGTTGTGGTACGAACTGGTCAGAAATGCTGCTTTTAGGAATATAGCAGGATATAGAGGATGCAATGTGATTAAAAACAGCCTTTTTTATTCTGTTTGGAGGCAGCTGAAGTCATTTCTACTTTGTCTATTTAAGTAAAATATGTGTCCCGTCACTGTCTTTGTCTTCTTTGAGCCACTTAGTGACAATTATTTCTCCAAAATTTACACAGAATCTCAGCATTACAGGCAAAACTCTGCTGTTGTACTTTTTGAATGTTGCAGCTGGTTTAGGTTTGATTATTGATATAATTATGAGTTGATTTCATGTTTTGATTCATCGTTTTTTCATCTCAAATCATCAAAGTTCTTACAGCGTACATGCAGGATGTCTGTCAAGATATTTGTGAAATCTTAGCTTCATATATTAAATGGTTTCCGGGTTGGACGTTTTTAAAAGCTGCCCGTTGACCCACTTGCAGCATTTTAATTTTTTTCTCACGTTGAAATTTGAGGCTGTTTGATCGACAACATCTCAGGAACTACAAAAGACAAAAAGCTGAAATCTTCTCTGTTATTTCTCATCACGTCGCTGATTCAGAATCTGTAATATCAAACAAGCAGATCAAACAATCTGCAGTCGTGGGTGAGTTGAAATATGAAAGAAAAAATGAAGCAAGTCCCACCTTTGAGCTCACATTGACAGAACAATCAGTGATGCGGACGTGAGCTGGTGATGTTTTCTGATCCACGTGTAGCTGCAGGTCACAGAAAAACTAAACCAAACAAATACTTTAACAAAACAAAACAAGGTTATTCTAGTTGAACTCTCATAACTGATTGAACAGGTTCAGCACAGAAACTCAAACATTCCTAGAAAGTCTGATCCAAGCAGAATAATCCTCTCAGCATAACTAAGGAAATATATATTCCTTTATTACATATTGGATGTTCTTTGTGCGTTGTTGTGACATGCAGCTACAAGTTCTCCTGCAGTGAAACCAGCGATAACAAACTGAGCTTCCCCTCCAGGTATCTCCGCCGTCCTGTTTGAGACGAGGCTCGGCTGCCTGCAGGAGGAGATTCCTCACGACACGTTGCGCTTCATCGCCGCCGTCAACGACATGATGAGCCTGTCGGACACGGTGCTGCTGCTGCCCCGCTGGAGCCGCGACATCCTGCCCTTCTGGAAGCGCTTCGTCCGGGCCTGGGACGACCTCTATGATGTAGGTGCGTAGCTGCGGAAGCAACAGAAACCTTCTCGCAGCTTTGGGCTCCACTGACCCGCTGTGCTTTTGCAGCTCGGACGCTCATCGACAGGAGGACGGCGGAAATCGCAGCTCAGGTGCGCAGCGGCGAGGCCGCAGAGGGGATGTACCTGACCCACCTGCTGTCGTCCGACAAGCTGAGCAGAGCCGAGGTCTACGTCAGCGTGACCGAGCTGATGCTGGGGGGAGTCGACACGGTGAGGCTTCGTGCTTCGGTTTGCTGTAGTTTAACCCAGAATTGTAAAGCAGAGGCACCTTTGTCCTCCCAGGAAGCAGAGCTAAAGGTGCAGTCTGGATGAAGATGGTTGATATTTAGCAAGTCAGCAAATTTAGATGAGATTCGACTTTATTGTCATTAAACATGTACAAAACAACGACATGCAGGAGAAGTAAAATAGTGCAGATGTGTTGTTAATATCTATATAAACGATGGTATTTACATGAGCATATGGCACGGTGTAGATTTACAAAGTAGAGTTTAGCACATTTTTAACAATTAATTTCTGCTCAACCATCTCTGACCATCTACAGCATAAAATATATTTATAAAGACATCTGAGAAGTTTTAGCTGATATATGAGATACCTTTGAAATGACACATATGCCCATTTGAAAAATATTTTCTTAGATATCTTTTGAGAATCACTTTGAAACTCCAGAACTGTTTTAGACGATTATTAGACTTTCTAGGAATATTTCATTTCACTTCATGCGTCGTTGTGACCAAACATTAAAGTATTCTACGTGGGGCGTTAGCAGCATAATGCACTCAAGAAGCTTTCAGCTGCTTTTTCTTGTGATGAATCTCATAGGAGTTGATATTTAGGGGCATCTTTGTCCTCCCAGGAAGCAGATTTAAAGGTGCCGATTCTGGAGACAGATTGCTGCGAGTTTGCAAATTCAGCATGTTCCTAAAAGTGCACATGGTGAAGCCTCGGTCACATCCGGGTCTCCTACAGCAGAATGACGCCACGCAAGTCCGTCGTGTTATGAGGTTTTAGCTTTTGTCCTGAAATCAGTTTGTATCGTCCCAGAGCTATTTTTTATCTCCCTTGTTTTATCTCCGGGACGTCCTGAAGCTGGAACCCTATCAGTAAGTTAACAGAGTTTACAGGACAGCATGTTTTGTTTTTTGCTTTTGTTTTGTTTTCTGAAAATCCCGCCAAACCTACGAACGCCGTCAGCACGCCATCGAGCGCGTGACTGACTTTCTCTGTCCGTTCCGTTCAGTTCCAACTCAAGACAATTTCCACGGCAATTGCATGTCACAGTTACCGTCCATGCTTGAACGGACTTTCTGACGGAGCCCTTGCAACCTTTCCTCTACCTCCACGACCTCCATGACCTCTACGACCTCTACGACCCCCACGACCTCTACGACCTCCACGGCACCAGGATTCGCAGAGGATCCCAAAAGCCGTGCGTCCGGTTGTGGCCGAGGCTTGAAAGAGTGTCGCATGGTTCAAGAATCAGCCGAGACTCGTTCGCTGCAGCCTCTGGGACTTTCATCGCCTTCTGGAGGAACACTCGTCTCAGCAGACGGAGGCCAACACAGGCGACGTCATGGGGAGGAGGTCACCTGTTGTTTTGGGAACTACGGAGTCCAGACGACTAGTTTCTTGGAAAGCGTGTGTGTGGGGATATTTCCAGTGCTTGTTCTGGTTTCATTCCAACATTACCATTTCACTTGAGATGTGTGTGTGTGCTGTACAACATCCTATTTCCCTGACCTCTTTGTTCTTGACTCCGACACAAACGCTGCATTTTTCCACAAACAGAACAGACGACTAGTGAACCAGCAGCAGATTCAGGTTTAAAATCGCTCCCTCCGCCTTCAGGTGACACTAAACCCCAAAACCTTTACGCTGAGGGTCCCGTCCTCGTCACTGTCGGCTTCCTCAGAGAGGATTTTAAAAAAGCAGCTTTTATGGTGGAAGAGCTGATAAAACATCATCTGCCTGCTGTCCGTCCATTCGTTGACTCATGCAGACGTCATCAGATTGTGTTTCCAGGAACAGACGGTTCTTCCTGCACTTTACAATCTGTTCCAACATCAGCCCTGCTGTCTGCTGTAGCTTCTCACGACCGACCAAACCCACAGTTTGATGAGCCATCAGTGTTTTTCTGCTCGACCAGCTCTGATTTGCTTAAAACGTTTTTTTTTTTCTCATTAACTGTTGATGATTAAAACGGGATCTGTGAAATTTTCGGTGAAGATTTGTTGAGATAAACTTTACTTGAAATTGCACGTTGACCCACGTTTTCTGGCAAATTTCAGTCGGCGAGCAGTTTAAAAATTAAAAATAAATCTCTGAAAGTCATATTAAAATAAGTGTGTTGATCAGTCGGGTGTGATTGTTAAATTTTTAAACAATCGAGCAGAATTATTTCTAAAACGTTGATGATGTGAGGTGGGACGAGGCTGCACTGGTTTAGTTATGATCTCCAGTTGGTGTCTTTCTGTTTTGTTTTTTATCCATCGACAGCCGGCGTGAGTCAGATCACGGCTCTTGAGAAGTTCTTTGTTTGAAGCCGACGACTGGGAGTTTCCTCACGTCTGCAGAGCTGTTGCCGCCGAACCCGAGAACCAAACTGAAACCTGAAGCTGCGTTTTTCTTCGTCAGCTTCAGTTTGCAACGTATGACGTGTCTGATTTCTCAAAGCGTTTAATGATAAAACAGAAGCCAACCCTTCCCAGACACGCTGGGCTCTGCACGATTCATTTTGCTCATGTGTGAGTCGCAATGCGTTGGAACAAACCGACGTTTTGTTGGAAAACCGTAGAAGCTTCGTCACAGTTTAGGCTGCACACTGAGCTCGAGGTGTGGACCTGCCCGAGGACCGGCTTGTCTTGACTGTCGGCTTGACTCAGCAGCCACCGGTGATGCACGACACAACAAACGTCACCTCAGGATCTGTCAGTGTCGTGTGCGATCACACAGCTGTCACTTCTGACCAGCTGGTGTGAAACAGTGGCGAAAACGGAGCCGAGCAGGAGATCAAACTGCCAAGAAAACAAGCACCAGCAGTTCCTTTTTTGTCCGGCAGCGTGTTCTTGTCAATGAAAAACCAGATGCGCGTTTAATTTGGAGCCAAACTTTGCTTTGGCCGGAGGGAATCAAAACCTCCAGCAGCAACAAACAGAGCTGATCGCAGTGCAAGCCGTCACAGAGCTGGTCTGGCTGCATTCCCAGGCTGGGTTCAGGCTTGTTTGTCATTGCTTTAGCCTCGAGCAGGAGGTTTGTGAAATCTACAAATCTGCGATAACGTGAGCAGAGATGTAACCGACTGGCTTTTACCAGCGAGCACATACCGTTCACATGATAAGCAAACGTACAAAAGTGATGAAATGGATGCACGAGAAGCAAAACAAGCTGTTGATGTGGTCGAGAGGAACATCAGGCCACGGCACGGCGATGGGTTTGAATCTGATTCTGCTTTTCAAGAACAGATGTGGAAGTTTGTGTTTGTAGAACTGATGCTCCAGCCTGTGAACTATGCGATAAAGACGACTTTGGCTAAAACACGGTAACAAAAGCACTTGAAGGACGTGGATCTGTTGGGAAAACAGCGCTGCATTCCTTCAGTGCAATGTGGGAAAACAAATTCCAGAAGACAGATCCACTATCTGCAGCTTCATTTCCTCTCTTCCCTCCCCTCTCTCCTCTCCTATAGGCCATGAAATGTGGTTTCAGACAGATAAACCACAGAAATGTCCACTCTTGGCTGTTGAAGCACACGATTGTCTGTGTTCGCTTCCAGTATCACAACTTTCTCTGTTGAAAATAAAACATAAAATAGGCGTTAAAAAGCTAGTTGGTAAAATGTTTAAGTTGTTTACAATCGTGGGTTAGAAACGAGAAGTTCCAGATGTTGTTGTGTAACAAGGATGGGGTGTTTCTTTAAGTATCACGCCTTCTATAAATCCTAAAATCTCCAGTGAATGACAAACTTAAATGATTACTGCTTTTGTTTTAGATAATAACATTGCAGATTTAGTTACAAGGAAACGTTGTGCAACTCATTTTATTGATCTTTCAAAGACATTTGATGGCCAAAGGTGTCCCACAGGGCTCACTAATGGGGCCTCTGCTGTTTACTCTTCATGTTATATCATATTCTTCTGTTTTTGTTGTGTTTTTAAATAGACAAAAGTCATGTTCTCCTGTGCATTATTCAGAGACACAGATTGAAGCAACTCCTTGTTGGGGTGTACTGACATTTCATACATATGTGACTCAGTTGCGACTCTTCAGGGCGCCGTTTGTCGTCCACAACGGGTAGTTTTAAACAGAAAAACTACAAAAGTTTAGATTCTTGGCTGCTGAAATACGCACAACCTTCTTTTTAGGAGGCCAGACAGGACTTCTGTGTTGGATTTCACTTCCAGTATCACATCCTGATGCAACTTTGTCTCTTTTAGAAAAGAGTCAAAACTTTCTCAGATAATCAGCCATGCTAGCAAATCATTAGGCGCTGCTATATATCCACGTCTTCCAGCATGAAGCCTTTCCTACAAATGTACCAGCAACAGCAACTTAACAACAGTGAAAATGCTCCAGACACCACAGAATACGACAATAAAATAAATACAAAAATCCTAGAATCCCAATAAATAATAAATAATAAATATAGATTTGGTGCTTCGTTTGATGCAGTTTTTGATGCATTGCTTTTATAAAAGTCGTCAGAGTTTGATGAAAATGCTCAGAATTGGTTTGAAGTGTTAAGTGTGATTGTGAAAGGTGTCCCACAAGGCTCAATCCTGGAGCCTCTGTTGTTCTCTCTTTATATTGATAATATTGTTTCTTCTGTTTTTTAAAATGATAATAAGTCATGTCTTTATCAAACACACTCAAATTACTGTTTTAGTCTTTGTGGATTAGTTTTGTTCTCTTTGGTTTAATTACTCTGCTTAGTTGCCTTTTGACATTTTTACCGGTAATTTTTCTCTATAAACGTTTATTAACGCGCCTGTATTTTTGCTTTATTTTATCTTTTTGTTTGACTAGATTGTACATAAAGTCTCAGTGTGTCTCCAAGTTTAAATGAAGGCTGATTAAAGATAACGAGTGATCTGACCCTGAAGGCCTGAAACAGTTCTGATCTCACAGACGGACGATGCAAGTTTTTGGTAATATGTGGTGAAGGAAGTAAAGCTGGAGGCTGTGTTACTGTCTCAGGATCTGCAGCAGTGAAAAGGGGTTTAATTATAGATATCATCCTCTAATTTAAGTGTTATGAAGCTTTTATGCTCAGAAGGAAAGAAATAAAAGCTGCAGGTGCCTGTAGAGTTTCTCACAGTTGCTTTAATTCTTTTGTCCATTTCCATGTGCGACAGTCGAGCGCATCAACAACAACTCACTCTCCGGCTGTTTTTTTTTCAGTGTTTTTTGTCACTCTGGATGAACTTTTCTTGCTTCTTCTTACACCCGCCAGACGTCCAACACCTTGTCGTGGGCCTTGTACCACTTGTCGAGGGACAGCCGGGTTCAGGACGTCCTGTACGGCGAAGTGAACTCGGTGTGTCCAGACAAACGGCAGCCGACCACGGACGACCTGAGCAGGATGCCGTACCTGAAGGCCGTCATCAAGGAGACGCTACGGTGAGATCTTCCTCCAGCAGCAGGTTGAACGTTGCTGTAAAACAACTCAGCCTTTTGCTTCTGTGTCCCCATCGCTGGTTGCACCTGAACTCGTGGCTGTTTTTTTGTTCAAATGAACCAGATAATGTGTCAGTGAAGCAGCAGCAGACAGGTCTTCCTGCACAGCCGTTGAGCTTTAACATGTGTTCCAACATCAACACTTGTGCAAACATTCAAGCTGCTGTAACTTCTCATCGAGCAAAACCGGCCAAACCCAGATCTGTCAGCGTTTCAACAACAATCCTGGCTGCACAAAAGCTTCCACTCGAGCGTGGATGATTAAACGAGGCGTGTCCAACGTTTCTTGTGGGAGTTTATCAGCTGACTTTGTTTTCAAACTTTCAGATCCTCCGTTTCTTTTCTGCAGAGTTTTAGTGATTTTTGTTTTTATTTTCTGGCCTCACAAGCTGGAAACGTGTCCTTCTTGTGGCCATCGGTCTGAGCTGGGAGGACGGTTCGGCTGATTTATAGCTCCGACAGGAATGAGTTCCTCGTCTGCAGCAGCCTCGGGCGCATTCGTTCGCAGGACTGTTGTCATCACAGTCCTCCAGTAGGAGAGAAAACACTGCTCTGAGCGACGGGCTTCACTCAGATTGAAATCCTCTCAGAGCTCGTACAACGTAAAACTCACAACCTGCAGCTCATTCAGTCATGCAGCTAACAAAGAGTTTCATAGGTCTGGGTCCTGTTTGTGATTGTTCTGGTGCTGATAAAGGATCAGAGGCTGTTTCATTTCCATTTTAATCCTCCTCATGTGCCCCGTGTGGTGCTCAGGCTTCGTCCACCTGATTGATTTGTTCCCTTCTTGCAGCCTTTATCCCGTCGTGCCTGGAAACGGACGCTTCGTCACAGAGAATGAGGTGATCGTGGACAACTACTGGTTCCCCAAGAAGGTAGGAAAATAAACCCGTAACCATTAGACATGAGCGTCTTCTTTAGATGAACTCATGAAGCGTGCCGATGCAACGGGTTAAAGCTCACTGATGGTCGTAAATCGTCCTGCAGCTGTGGGAACAGCCAGACAAACTGATTGGGAACGCTTTGCTGTGACTTTTGATGGCGATGAACTGTTCGGCTTCTGCAAAGTGTCCCATAAAAATCCTCATTTGAATCAACAGGAAGTCGGCCAACATCTGCAGCGCCGCCATTTTTTACAGCAGAGACTTGGTTCAAAGTTTAAACGACTCACAAGCCGTTGAATGTTTTCCCTACAAATCCGTGTTTTGGTGTCTTTTACGCAGTTTAAGTTTGATGACGTCAAGTGTGACCAAAGAAGCTATCTGAAGGAAGTGCCGTTAGCCTCGTCTCCTTCTCACAGCTTCTCCTCTGAACGAACAACTTAAACACCAAGACGTCGGCGTTTCTGCCCTCCAGTGTGAGTCTCATCGCTGTAGGATTTATGGTTTTTTCATAAATCACCTGAGAGCTCAACCAGAACTCATTCACTCCCATAAAATGTGGGGAGAAATTCTACGTTGGTGAGTCTCTGACCTGCCACCAAACTGATATCAAACGTTGCAACGCGTCAGAATGTTCTCAACAAGATTCTACTTCACACGCTGAAAGAATTGTTTCGATGCGACGTAGAGTTTTTGATCTGCGGCTGTTTGTTCGAGGGTCTGATCCTCAGGCTGCTGCTGATTGATTCTTTCAAAGTAAAAGCTCATGAAACAGCCGGCTTTTCAAAATAAAAAGCAAACGATTCCTTATGTATGCGTGTTCACATCTTTGTTTCTCCCGTTGTTTTCAGACCCAGTTCCACCTGTGCCACTACTCCGCCTGCCACGACGAGTCCGAGTTCCCGGACGCCGAGCACTTCCTGCCGGAGCGCTGGCTTCGGACCGAGCCGCCGGGCAGCCGCTGTGGCCGGACGTGGCCCGGCTTCTACCAGCACCACCCGTACAGCTTCATCCCGTTCGGCGTGGGCGTCCGGGCCTGCGTGGGGAAGAGGCTGGCCGAGATGGAGATGTACTTCGCTCTGTCCAGGGTGAAAAAAAAACCCATAAAATAATAATAATAATAATAATTAATAATAATATTACTCATAATATAATTTCTTTATTGCATTAATTAAACCAGAACGAGGCCGTCTAGCAGTACAGGATGCAGTGTTTTACCTTTAATATTATAATATCATCAGTATCTCCTCAGTAAGTCACCTCATGGGAAGATTTATAGAAAAACAAAAAGAGCTTTTTATTGTTTTTAAATTGTAGAGATTTTTTTTTCAATTTTTTATGTTGTTATCGACTTTGTAAAGTGTTTTTATATTTATAATAATAATAATAATAATAATAATAATAATAATAATAATAATAATAATGATGATAATGATACATAAGAAAAGGTTGTCTTGAATTTCAAAAAAAAATAAATTAAGGCCATAAAATGTCCAGAAAGATCTATTTTTTTATTTTAAAAAGTTCTTCTCTCTTGTGGTGATGTCGATAGATTACAGATTTAAATATGAAATCAAAAATTAAGACTTCATTTCTCCACAATTATATCGATTGATGTCAAAAATATAATCAATATTTATCATGTAGCTGCACGTAATGTGAAGAGTTATAGAAAACAGAACTATTTATTCTTTTATTTCTTTTTTTGAAAAGTGCTATACAATAATAATAATAATTTTAATAATAATACATAAATCAAAGGTCTTTAATTATTATTATTGTTTTAAATTAAAGCCATAAAATGTCCTGAAAGTCTTTTTTTTTTTAATTTTAAAAACTTCTCATGGTTTTGGATGGATGATAAATTTAAATATAAAATAAAAATTCAGCCTTCTGAGCACGTTTTCTCCACGATGACATCACGGTTCATTGACAGCAGAACACTGGAACGAGCAGGAAATCAAAGCCCAGCCCGCTTCCTGACCGACTCTGTGTCTCCTGCAGCTGATCCAGAACTACCGGGTCCGGGCCGAGGACGGCGCTCCGACTGTGGAGGCCAAAACTCGGACGCTGCTCATCCCGGCTTCGCCCATCAACCTGCGCTTCTCTCCCAGAGCCTGAAGGAGGCGCCGCTGAGGGTCGGTTCTGGTCGTTTCACGTCTCTGTTGTGTCTCATTTTGTGTTTCGTGTTGAACCGTTTCTGTCATTTTGTCGTTTTCTGGTCATTTTAAATCTCTCTCGGGTCTTTTTTTAGTTGCTTTTGTCTCATTTTCAGTTGTTTTTTCTCCATTTTGTCTCATTTTGGTGGTTTTGCATCTGTTTTGTGTCACATTTTAAACATTTTGTGCCTTTTTAAAATCTTTTTTCCCCCATTTTGTCGTTTTCTGGTCATTTTTCTTCTCTTTCGTGTCTCATTTTAAACTTTTCTTTTCCTGTTCTGTCTCCGTGGTCATTTTAAATCTCTTTTGTGTGTTTTTTTTTAGTTGTTTGTGTTTCCTTTGTATCACATTCGGGACTTTTTGTGTCTCAGTTCAACCTATTTTCCCCATTTTGTCTCTTTCTGGTCGTTTTAAACCTCTTTTGCGTCTCATTTTCGTGGTTTGTGTCTCTATTGTGTTGTGTTTTAAACATGTTGTGACTCATTTTTACCTTTTTTTCTCCCTTTTGTCTGTTTGTCGTCATTTTATTTCTCTTTTTGTGTCTTATTTTAATTGTGTTGTGAATCGTTTGTGTCCCATTTTGAACAGTTTTGTCTGTTTTTGGTCATTTTACGTCTCTTTTTGTGTCTCATTTTTGTTGTTTTGTGTCTCTTGTGTCACATTTGGGATGTTTTTTGTTTTGTTTTCATCTCTTTGCTTCCATTTTGTCTCTTTGTGGTCATTTTATTTCTCCTTTGTGTCTCAGTTGGTTGTTTTTTTTTCTATTTTGTGTCTCATTTTCAACAGTTTTTTCCTCATTTTTCTTCTTTTGTGTCTCATTTTGGTGATTTTGCGTCTGTTTTGTGTCACATTTTAAACATTTTGTGCCTTTTTAAAATCTTTTTTCCCCCATTTTGTCTCTTTCTGGTCGTTTTAAACCTTTTGTGTCTCATTTTCATGCTTTGTGTCTCTATTGTGTTGTGTTTTAAACATGTTGTGACTCATTTTTACCTTTTTTTCCCATTAAGTCTCTTTGTGGTCATTTTAAATCTCCTTTGTGTCTCAGTTGGTTGTTTTTTTTCTATTTTGTGTCTCATTTTCAATTATTTTTTCCTCATTTTGCTTCTTTTGTGTCTCATTTTGTTGGTTTTGCGTCTGTTTTGTGTCACATTTTAAACATTTTGTGCCTTTTAAAAATCTTTTTTCCCCCATTTTGTCTCTTTCTGGTCGTTTTAAACCTCTTTTGTGTCTCATTTTCATGGTTTGTGTCTCTATTGTGTTGTGTTTTAAACATGTTGTGACTCATTTTTACCTTTTTTTCCCATTAAGTCTCTTTGTGGTCATTTTATTTCTCTTTTGTGTCTCATTTGGTTGTTTTTTTTCTATTTCGTGTCTCATTTTCAACTATTTTTTCCCCCATTTTGCTTCTTTTGTGTCTCATTTTGTTGGTTTTGCGTCTGTTTTGTGTCACATTTTAAACNGTCACATTTTGGTGGTTTTGTGTTTAGTTTTCAACTCCTTGCTTCCATTTTGTCTGTTTGTGGTCATTTTAAATCTCCTTTGCGACTCACGCGGGACGTCTCGCAGCGTTTTTCTGGTTCTCTTTTCATTTCTCGTCTTTTGTCTGTCTTGCAGAGTGTCCCGGGGAGGAACAAAAGGTCTTTTCTCCATCTGACTAACCGACGGATCGGACCTGCGTGAGGACACAAACACCGGCTTTAATCCAAACACTTTGTCTTTTGCATCGTATCGAACGTCACCATGAACTCAACGCACTTTGCTCCGCCGGCTTTGTTTGTGGTTTCCATCGTTTGTCACAAAGCCGGAGCAGGTTTTCAGTTTTACATGTAAAAAGCGACACGCTGGGTGAACACCGCCCCCTTCTGGCGCTGACGGGCATCACAGCATGAACACAGTCAGTGTGTCGCTGAGCTCTGGATGTCTTTTTAACTTCTTAAAATTGCTTTTGCACAAACACACATGTATATATATGTATGTAGAGTATATTTTATGGCTTCCAAAATAAAAGCAGCTAATTTTATTTTCACCCTTCACAATAAAGTTAAATGTGAAACGCAGCAAAAATAAACGTCAGCGTTTGATTTTGTTTTTATGTGTTTGATGATTTCTGGCCTGTTTTCATTCACTCACGTTTCTGATTGAATAACTTTATACGTAGGCGTGTGTGTGTGTGTGTGTGTGTGTGTGTGTGTGTGTGTGTGTGTGTGTGAACAGAAGTAGGACAAAGTGTGACGCAGCAGAGCGACGGTCGACCTGAATCCTCTGCTGACGGATCGATACGTCTGCTTCACCAGATGTTCGTCCTGCAGATGTTTCGTCTCTTCCTGCATCTTGTGCTTGTTTTTTTTGTCCCGCTTTGCTCATTTTGTGCCACGTTTTGCGTGTCTTTGTGGTTGTTTACGTCGACTTCGCTCAATTTTAGTTGTTTTGTGTCTCAATTTTTTTCATTTTTGTCCCTTTCTGGACATTTTTCATCCTATTTGTGTCTCATTTAAGATGTTTTTAATCATTCTTCACTCTTTGTTTCCATTTTGTCTCCTTTTAAAGCTTTAATTGGGATATTTTTGTGTATTATTTAAATTTTTTCCTCCATTTTCTCTCTTTGTAGTCAATTATCATTTCTTTTGTGTCTCATTTTGGACGTTTTGCATGACTTTTGTATATTATTTGGGACATTTTGTGTCTCATTTTGAACTCTTTCTTGATATTTTGCCTCTTTGTGGTTGTTTTACATTCATTCTGTGTCTCACTTTGGTCATTTTGTGAAGTATTTTCAACTTTTTCCCCATTTTTTGGTAATCTTACATTTCTTTTCCAGCACATTTGGGACATTTTGTGTCTCATTTCAAACGTTCTCCTTCTATTTTGCCTTATTGTGGCCTTTTTTAATCTCGTTTGTGTCTCAGTTTTGTTGCTTTGCATCTGTTGTGTCACATTGGTGTCTCACTTTGATCATTTTGCACCTATTTGTGGTTGTTTGCAGTTAATTGGCTTCATTCTGTGTCTCATTTTGAACTCTTTGTGGTCTTTTTTCATCTCCTGTGTTCCATTTTAGTCGTTTTGTGTCCATTTTGCATCACATTTTTAACTTTGTCCCCATATTTTGGTCTGTTTTTGGCCATTTTACGTCTCATTTGGGACATTTTGAGTCTCATTTCGGACGTTCTCCTTCTATTTTGCGTTATTGCCGCCATTTTTCTGTCTCAGTTTTGTTGTTTGTGTTTGTTTTTGTGGCACATTTGGTGAATTTTGTGTCTCATATTGGACTCTCTGTGGTCACTTTACGTCTCTTTTGGGTTTCATTTCGTTGTTTTCTCATTTTGGCCTTTTTGTTTTGCCACTTTGGTCTCTTTGTGTTTATTTTACATCTTTTAAAATCCATTCTGGGACATTTTGTGTCTCATTTTAAACTTTTTTTTTTTTCATTTTGTGCCTTTCTGGTCATTTTACATCCAGTTTGTGTCTCATTTAAGACATTTTTGAACTCTTTTTTCCCCCCGTTGTGTCTCTTTGTGGTCATTTTACATCTAGTTTGTGTCCTTCTGGGATAAATATTATATTTCTTGGAAAATGACGACGTCCTGGAGCCTCCAGTACAGCAACGCAGCAAGTCCAGATCCTGTGGTGAAGCTCATGACAGAGTGAAAGTGCTCTCAGCTCAATGTTTGAACTTTATTTGCGGTTGTTTTCATAAGACTCAGTCTGTTGGATAAACTCTGGCCAGTAAATCGTCTTAATGTGGATTAAATGTGGTGAAGTGAGTCCATGGAGGTGAAAACAACCCGCATCAGTCATCAGAGCGGCGGCACAGCAGCAGGTTCCTCCGGTTCTGCTTGGACCTGTGGATGCGCTGAGGACCTCGGCCTGTAGGAGCCGCTGCGGGTTTTCCGGATTCTCCTTTTCCTCCAGCAGAGCTTGGCAGGCCTGACAGGTCCGGACTCGTCATTTCTTGCAGCGGAGGCCACCTTGTTCATGTGAGCTGCTCCTCCATCATCCGTCGGACCGCAGCCCGGATGGTTCAGCGGCTTATTCCGGCTTTACGCACGAACCGCGGCCGTCCATCCGGCACCGAAACCCGCGCTGCTCCCCGCGCCGAGGCCGGTTTCTGCGTCCTCCCCTCCCCTCCCATGGATGACTAGTGTGTCCGGAGATCCGCCGCCCTGCAGGCTGCCGGGACGCGCAGCTCCACACCGCCGGAGACTCACGGGGGCAGATGGTCGCCGCTTCGGGCTCGGGACGCCGCTTTTGCCGTCATGTGAACGCGGACGAGGCGCGTCGAACCGCCGGGGATGATGGTGAGTGTCCGACCGACGCGCACGGTGCGTCTCTTTTGTCTCCAACACCTGCTGTCAGACAGGAATTTACGGGAATCTGCCGGAGCCGCAGGCCGGGCGGATCAGAACCCGGACGGTTCGGCCCGCAGTGGACGCTGAGGTTCTGACCCGGTCGGCCTTTACAGTCTGGTGCGTGTCTTTACAGCAGATGGATGGATGGAGTGTTTTTATCCGTTAAATGTACATCCGTGGAGGCTGAACTCTCCCACGGTCCCTGAATGTGTCAGAACCCGTCCGGAGCTCCGTTTAAGCTCCAGTGATCTGATTTGTTCCGAGACGTGTCCTCTGCTCAGATGAACCAGAACCGTGTTTATGTGGCTCCTTGTGAGTCCAATAAGAGGAGGACATGCAGGAGGAACCACAGAAGGCAGAAAGAGATTCAACAGAAACCAAATAAACAGGATGGCAGCAGAAAAAACACGAAAATCACCTCAAAGTTCGTGTTGAATGAATGAAAAACACGTGGAATTTAAATAAACGGAGGATAAAACCATCAAAAACAATAAATAAATGAATAAAAAGGGTTAAAGACAACAAAGAATAAATAAAATCTGGAGTTTATTGATCAGCGGATCAGCTGCTGACCTCACATTCAACATAAAATATCAAATATTCTTCATCTCCTGCTTCTTATTTCTGAGCTTCTGTTGCTTCTTTAGACTCATGTGACACTAAATCCAGTATTTATGACGTCTGGCTGTTTATATTTTTAACTTTCTGGCATTTTGGAGACAAAATCAAATGTGTGAATGTTTGCTGGACGTGTTGGATGAGTAAACCACCCAGAACTGGACTTTCCACTTCAGTCATTAAACTAATCTGTTAATCGTTACCTTTAGACGGGTTCTGGTTCCAGCCGGCCTCATCTGTCGCCGTCATTTGAATATGACTGTTTTTATTCCTCTCAGTGTGACTTTAATAATTAGCTGAATGAGCATCAAATACGAGGACGTTTGCACAAAAACAAAAAGCTCACGTGACCTAAATGTAATCATGACGAAGTCCAAATCCAAAAAAATGTTAAAATATGTGATCTATACGTTCCAAAGCGTATTTCTACCATTTCGAGTGTTCGACTTGTTAAAGCTCATCCAGGAGTCCAGCCTTGTTCCATTCATGAGCGCATCTCCAACTTGAACCCAACGGTGGCGCTACACTGTTGGAGGCACGGACACCAAACTTCACTGGGTTCTTTCTTCTCCAACCCTCCAGAAGTCCACCAAATTTCATGACCATGGGGATTGTAGTTTTTGCGTAGTCCTGCTCGCAGACGGACCGTTTTAGTCGTAAATGCTGTTAAACTCTGAGACGTCTCATGTCGATCATTCAGCAGCTTTAGATACCAGGAAGTGTTTGGCTTTTATTTCTCCATATTTTACATTATTTTTGTCTCTTTGTGTCACATTTGGCACATTTTTTTGCCTCATTTTGAGCTTTTTGCTTCCATTTTTGCCTCACTGTGGACATTTTTCGTCTCATTTTGGTGGTTTTGTGTCTCCATTGTGACACATTTAAGACATTTTGCAGTTTATTTTTGAACTCTTTTGTTTTCTGTTTGTCTTTTTGTGGTCGTTTTACATCACGGTTACATTTAAATTTGGTTGTTTTGCGTCTCTTTGTGACACATTTAAGACATTTTGCATTTCATTTGGATCTCTTTCTTTCATTTTGTCGCTTTGTGGTCGTTTTGCACCTCTTTTGTCACTAATTTCAGTGGTTTTGTGTCTGTTTTCTGTCACATTTGGTACATTTTTTGCCTCATTTTGAACCTTTTGCTTCCGTTTTTGTCCTGCTGTGGTTGTTTTAAATCAGTCTTGTGTCTCATTTTGGTTGTTTTGGGTCGTTTTAAAGTCTTTATTCTCCACTTCGTCCCTTAGCCGTCACTTTACATCTCAGTCGGGTCTCGTTTTGACCTCTTTGCTTCCTTTTTTGGCTCATTGTGGACATTTTACGTCTCTTTTTTGTCTCGTTTTGTTGGTTTTGTGTCTCTTTTCTGTTGCATTTGGGACATTTTGAGCTCTTTTTTTCTCCCCATTTGTCTTTTTGTGGCCATTTTACATGAAGGTTGGGTCCGAATTTGATTGTTTTGCGTCTCTTTGTGTCACATTTTGGTTGTTTTTCTTTAATTTTGTCTCGTTGTGGTCATTTTGCATCTCTTTCGTGACTCATTTTGGTGGTTTTGTGTTTGTTTTGTGTCACATTTGGCACATTTTGTGTCTCATGTTTAATGTTTTTTCCGTTCTGTCTCTTTCTGGTCGTTTTTCGTCTGGTTCGTGTCTAATTTTGGTTGTTTTGAATCTGTTTTGTAGTTTTTTTGTCGACCTCTTGACGGACTTTGTAACCAGAAAGTTGACTTCAGACTTGAGCACCTGCTTCTTTTATACATTATTTTACCCTTTTGTCATCGTAGCAGCAGCAACAGCCAGACCATAAACGTATTCGTGGTGTTTTCACGGCGCTGAGCTTCCCGGACTAAAAATAAAACCCCACGAGGGTGATTTGAGGAAAGAATGAGTCCCTCAGACAGAACTGCTTCTTTCTAGAGATGCCATTTTGAAATGTGAGCTCAGCAGCTGCACAGGATCCATCAGAAAGGAGGAAGCTGGCCACCGTTTGCACCCGCCAGGAGCAAGGAACATCCCAGGATGCACTGCAGCTGCAAGTTGATAAAGTCGCTGTTTGAAGCCTCGTTCTTCGGGAGGCGTTCTCGCTACAGAACCGCCTGCCGGCTCGCTCTGAGCTCTGCAGACAG